CTGCGAGCAGGGAGGGGGGGCCAGAGTGCGGGGAGTTGGGTGGGTGGGGAGAGCAGCGAGGGGCCGCACGCCGCTCGGCCCTCGCTTCAGGGCGGGAGGGGGAACGACGTGGAGCGGGGGGGAGAGGCAAGGGGGGTGGAGGAGACGGGGAACTGGCAGGACGGGGGTACTTACCTCCTCCTGCTTCCTCCTGGAGCTCCATCCCCCCCTCCCTCGAATACCGCGGGCCCCGCCCCTTGGAAGGTGGGAAGGGGCGGGGAAGGGGTACACCTGGCCTCCGGAGTCCGGAGGCCAGGTCTACCACTATAGTGGGAATGGGTCGGAGTCCGGAGGCCAGGTCTACCACTGTAGTGGGAATGGGTGGGTAGGTCCGGAGGCCAGGTCTACCACTGTAGTGGGAAGGGGTGAGTAGACCTGGCCTCTGTTGCGGGGGCGCTCCAGGGCAGGGGGGTAATCGAGCCATGGGGTGGACGGGGGTGGAGGAGATGAGAGAACCGGCGGGATGGGGGGGAACTTACCTCCTCCTGCTGCTTCCTCCTCTTCCTCATAGTTGTGGAGTTCCCCCTCTCCCGCGAGTATCGCGGGTCCCCCCCCTTGTCTTCCTACTAACCACCACTTGGTATTTAAGAGCTGCACATTTGGGTCTCAACTCTCAACACTTGGGAGGAGGGGAGGGGGAGGGCAAGGCACATCCTTGGAAAGAGGTCTTAGAAAGAAACGGACGAGGCTCCGAGGGAGACTGGGAATGACGATGGAGACTGGGTTAGAGTAGGGTGATCCAAGAGAGTGGATGTAGCAGGAACTGAGAGACAGATTTGCATCCAAAGGAAGACTGGAGTACGTTAAAGCACCGAACTCTCAAATGGCCAAAAAACATGGTCAGAGGCAGGACATGGGAGTTGCCACAGGGGGAAAGTGTTGGGAGGGAGGGAGGGAGGGAGGGAGGGAGTGGTTGCTTTCGTAGGTGGACAGAAACTGTTCCAGAGAGCCCTGGTGTCAATGGGACGGGGGTCCTGCGGGATCAGGCAAACGAGGCAAGAAGGATTCTAAGTTCCTGTCTGTCAGTCCTCTTCTTTGCTTGGAAGGAATGTGGCAACTTGCAAGTGCCCTGGGCACTTTTCAGACATGCCAAATAATGCTGTTTCAATCCACTTTGAGTGGATGTTGCCATTTCACACAGTAGAATCCAGTTGCAAAGTGGACTGAAAGTGAATTGAAAGCATATTACGTAGGCCCTTTCTGCATTCAGTCTTTGCTCCATCTTTCCCAGGCATTCGAACAGCCATGCCTTTGCTCCAACTTTTTTCTCCATTTCTACATATATCATGTCAAACTGGATTGAATCCTGATTACCAGTTCCAGTTTCCCACATTGGAGGCGTTTTAAACCTCTTTCATCTGCCCTTACTGTGATGTTACAGTAGCTAAAGGTTTCCCTTGCTTGAAAGCCAGTCGAATCTGACTCGAGGGATGCGGTGCTCATCTCCGTTCCCAAGCCGAAGAGCCAGCGCTGTCCGAAGACGTTTCCGTGGTCATGTGGCCGGCATGACTAGACACCGAGGCGCATGGAATGCTGTTACCTTCCTACCGAAGCAGTACCTATTTATCTACTTGCAATTTCTTGGCTTTCAAACCGCTAGGTTGGCAGGAGCTGGGGCCAGAGACGGGAGCTCACTCCATCATGCAGCACTCGGGTCTCGAACTGCTGAACTACCCACCTTCCAGTTTGCAGTTCAGCGTCTTAACCAGTTGAGCCACTGCAGCCGTCAGATCACTGGTTTCTGGCCAGTGCTGTTGGGTGGGTTGGGAAATTTATTTTTGGGTGTATATCCCGCCCTCCCCGAAGGCTCAGGGCGGCTAACAACGAGGCACAAGTGCCAGAGTTAAAACAGATAAAACAGCCTAAAACAGTAAAACAATATAATACAACAACAAAGTGTCAGTGCTCCATTTATTGCAAGATGAGGTAGATCTTAATCCAATGGCAATTGGTCCCATAACCTGTCATCCCCTCTCCTTCCAGGGTCACCTCGGACCCAGATGGAAACACATATTAGTGGTAGTGGTGCGATGCTGCATACATATTGGTGGTGGAATTGTAGTGGTGGCGGCTCCTACTCGAAAGCCTGGCGGAAGAGCTCCGTCTTACAGGCCCTGCGGAACTGAGAAAGGTCCCGCAGGGCCCGGATCCACCAGGTAGGAGCCGCCACCGAAAATGCCCTTGCTCTAGTAACAGCAAATTTAATATCCCTGGGGCCTGGAATTTCCAGGAGATGTTGACTAACCGACCGTAGTGCCCTTGGGGGAACATATGGGGAAAGGCAGTCACTCCTACTATGGATTCCTCCCTGGAAGATGTGGGTGGGGGAGAGGAGTAAGGGAAGCATTTGCACACCTCCCCCCCCCCTGTTTAGAGTTTAAATGCATTGGGTTTGCAAATCCAAAGCACTCGTGTTGTGTGGGGGTGCCACATCCTAAGCATCCGAGTCCATCCCGGAGCCTGGAAGATGTGGGGGGTGGAAGAGGGTGGGCGGATAGGAGCACGGTTTCTCCCACGAATGGCAGGTATGACCTGGAGGCTGGCAATCCCTATTGCAGACAGAAAATGGATGCTTTGGAGGGAGGAGTCTATGGGACTAGCTCCCCAGCCAGTGACCCTACCCACCCAAGGCTCCACCAGGGATGAGCAGATCCCTAGAGAAACTTGGCTGCTTTGGAGGGTAGACTCTATGGCATTATATCCATCTGAAGTCCTTCTCCACCCTTCTCAGGCTCCGCCCCCCAAATCTTCTGCCATTGCCCAGCCTGGAGCTGGTGAAGCTAAGTGAGACCCAGTTCTAAACAAGGGCTGCCAGCTCCAGGTTGGGAAATACCTGGAGATGTTGAGGGTGGAGCCTGAGGAGAGCGGGTGTTCGGGCATAATGGCATAGAGTCCAACGTAGGTGAACTGACCTCTGTCACCTGGAGATCGGCTGTAATAGCAAGAGATCTCCAGCCACCACCTGGAAGTCGGGAACCCTATTCTAAACTGACTCTACTTCTAGGGGCCCACTGGCAAAGTAAATTCTCTGTTAAGGGAAAGGTTTCCCTTGCTCGAAAGCCAGTCGAATCCAACTCTAGCGGGTGGTGCTCATCTCCGTTCCCAAGCCGAAGAGCCAGCAGTGTCCAAAGGCGTTTCTGTTGTCATGTGGCCGGCATGACTAGATGCCGAGGTGCACGGAAGGCTGTTCCCTTCCCATTGAAGCGGTACCTATTTATCTACTTGCAATGTCTTGCTTTCGAACTGCTAGGTTGGCAGGAGCTGGAACTAGAGATGGGAGCTCACTCCGTCAGGCGAACTGCTGAACTACCGATCTTCCAGCTTGTCTTAACCACTGAGTTACCCTGTCTTAAAACTGAACAAAGTTTGAGTCCAGTGGCACCTCTACGACCAACCTTGTTTAATTCTGGGTATAATCTTTCGTGCAGGTGCACACTTCTTTCAGACACATTTGTTTCTCATACTCAGAATTAAAGTTTGTTGGTCTTAAAAGGTGCCACTGGACAAAAACTTTGTTCTGTTCCTCACTTTAAAAAAAAATTATTCGTTTTTAAACAATCATTTACAACAATAAGCGTCACAAGCATTGAAGAAGCATCGCTTCAGACTAACAGGGCAATCCCCACTTGCATCAGTCTTATAAATGGGGAATTAAGGTTTGGGTTGATTCCGACGCCGTCCACAAGAGGGCAGCAGAAGACGACGGGGAGACGGGACTTTCGCGTGGGCGGGGAAAAGAGGCGCCACTCCTGACCCGGAAGGGGAAAGAGACGGGCTCCGCGCCGGGGGCAAAGGGGAGGTGCAAAACGCAACGGAGGGTTTGCCTTTTCCTCCGCGCTCTGATTTCCCCCTCATGGCGGGCATTTCTCGGACGGCCCTGATCTTCGGCGGGTTCGTCGCCGTGGTGGGCGCGGCCTTCTACCCTATTTACTTCCGTCCGCTGATGCACCTGGAGGAGTACAGTAAGTCCCGGCGGCGACTGCGCACGCGCGAGGGGCTCCGCCGAGGCCGCCGCGTCCCTCCCCCCACGTGACCCGGCGCCCGTCTCTGCGCGCGGAGCCGCATTCAGACGTCACGCTCCCCCCCCCCCTCCCCCGGTTTTCCGG